CGCAGGGCAAATATATAGTCAGAGGTGGTTCGACCGCGCCGGAAGTCACACTGCTTTTCTTGGATCTTGAGGTCAACTATTTCACGGCACCTCCTTTCTAACACCTTTGCGTAAGGACAAAAGACAACAAGGAAAAACATTTGTTGTAAAAGAGGAAATGAACTTTGAAATTCAACAAAACCAAAAAAATGAAAAGGATCATGACACAACGCAAATTATTTAGCGAAAAAATAACACCTTTGGGACTGGAAACACCAACTGGACAGAAGCCGCAACACCGGTATTCAAATGGGATGTCAATAAAGACGTGAAATTTATTGGCCGATTTGCATGCCGCTATTTTTAACTGGCTGAAATTGGCATTGACTTTCGCCTGTTACCTCATTTTCTGTAAAGAAGTAATCATTAGATTCCATGTAATCATAATTTTCATTTACGTGTATCCTGCATTTATGTTGCGGTACGTTACTGTACATCGATCACTGCAATGATAGTTATGACTTAAAATGCTTGATTGCAGTTATTTTTGCCTGCACCTGCGATGTAGGAAATCCTGTAGGTAAAGTAGTGTTAGACGCTGAATCCACAAGTGACGAGGAGTAACAGGGGATTGGATGGTAGCCGGAGATGAACGATAAGGTGAATGTTGAACCGGTAAACGTGCCATAACATTGCGAAGATGGTTATTAAATTAAGACGCCTCCCTTCCGGAAGATAGTAATCTAAGTATGTTGATTGTATATTTTGTCGATTCTGTCACAGCGATCACTTGAACAGTCTGGCTGGAGTTTCCTTAGAATAAGATGCTAGCAGAATAGCTAACTACACCTTTGTTTTAGAAAAGTATTTCGTCAAGTTTCCGGACATTACCATGTGGTCGGAACATTGATCTAATATCAAATAAAAGTTTTCATTGCTTTTATGTTTGCCATAAAATCAGAAAATATAACGTGATGGTTAAACCTTCCGTGGTTTTCAGTGTTGTCGATCTGCCTCCGTGATTCATCCTCCTCGAATTTTTGGTGAAATCAACGGCAAGAACCTAGGAATTCAGGTCGTTGGACCAGAATAAGCGCCGAAAGACAACTGTTACGTTATCATCATCTGAGGTATCACGGTCAGAGAGTGAGTAGCCAGATTAATGTTGCCTGTTGTTGAAGGCAGTCTCGCAAAAGATGGAAACTCTTTGTGGCAGACCTGTGCGAAAAAGGGTATGACCTTAGCCGAAGCAGTAAGCGTTGCCTTATACTGTTATGAAGTACTTTTTCTAAACGTCAAACATTACAAATTTAGGTTACTCTGGCGTTTGAGTTCTTATAACCCTTGATTACGATAAAAAAATAACAGTAATTGGTATCAACCGATTTTTAAAAGTTTAAATTATTTGTCGTCACCAGGTACCATTTTACAACGTAACTGTGGGTGTTTCAATCATTGGCGACAGTATTCTTCATTGTTGTAATGTTTACTCATTGCGTTGTTTATGATGGTGTAAAATGCTTGGTTGTGCAACGGGGCGTCCCTAAGTTTAGAAATGTGGCTTCATGCAGTTGTGGCCTGCCTTCAGCTATTGGGTATTTCGTGTGCCTATGTCAGAAGTATGAGAATGAAGAACAAATGAATTGTATCATGAAGATATGTTACATCTTTTTCAGAAGAGTTGTCTTGTTTGCATGAGTATCAGAGCAGCGTCCGTTATGAAGGCGAGAAAGATAGGACGGTCAACAATGTTCCATGTCAACAGTGGTCCAAATACTCGCTTATCGTTGGTCAGTTGAGATTCGTTTTATTTTGCACTAAAATGGTATATCCACAAGGGACAGAAGTGAGGTTTGCTTAACCGAGCGCCGATGCGATGAGGTTCAAAATGGTTCAGAACTTGGCAATCCGAAATACTCTCGTTTCTGAGCAAGCAGAATGAACTAATGATTTAGTTTCATGACTGACCGTGTGAGCGAGTAAACAGAAGAATGAATAGTTATTTAATCGTGAGACGCTGATTTTCTTGTTATCGGCATGAGTGCCTTTTTTAAACGGCAGAGGTGACATTCATTTGTCAACCTGGAAAGGAAGAAAGGCGAGTGACCCGACTTGGGTTCGAACCTTGGACATCTAGGTTCTGTATCCGATATTCTCTCTACTTAGAAACCTTGAACAGAATAATGAAAGGTGACATAAACAGTCAAACAATGGAAATAAAGGAAAGAGTGGGATGTGGAACTTTCATGACAGAGATTCTGGTACCCTTGTTTCCGTAAAGTTCATATTGATCGATTAGAATGTTTAAAAGCTGCAACTTGATTTTTTGTCATCCTTCCTATAAAGCTCACTTCTTTGGCCATCGTAAATCGCTCACTCATATAATAGGTCAGCTATATGTAATCTAAACATCATTTCGATCCAATACTTTCCTGGTATAGCATTTCCCATTTTTCATACTTATTCTTGTCATCTTGCCATTTCTGTTTCTGCTTATCGCAGTTTAGTATAAGTTATACGTTACTTACTGTTTGGCATCCGATCTAATGTAGTAATCCCCAAATCCTCATAATCTTTTTAACTTTATCATGCATGTCACCAGATTTGTTGTCTTGCTTACGTTTCAGAATTTGTGATACACATGACTATCAACAGAATGTGGGTAATAGTCTCGTTTACTTCCCCATATGTCTGTGGCGACACGATCCTATTCAGGCAGTAAATGTCCACTCGTTCATTCATTCGTTCACTCACACATTCATTTATTCGTTCGTTCGTTCATTCATTCATTATATAACGAGCCTCTTCATCCTAGTCGATTACTGCAATGGATCACATTTTAGGCTCAAGTACGGTGGAATTTTTCTTCCTGACTGTTAAGATAGATGTGAAGATTTGTATTAATTTTGAAACAGTCACCTGACAAAATAACTATTAACTTAACGGGTAGCAGAACTTCTAAGTCATTTAGAGGAGAGCTCTCTACGAGAGGGAGCACATCATCTTTAATTTTTAGCATTGTCTAAGTATTACTGAAGACAGCTAATCATGGCTATGACAAAAAAGCTACAGATGTTGACTTTAAGACAAACGGCACTGACTGCTGATGCCACTGTGACGTAGATCAGGGCCCTATTAAGTTCAGCGGAAAGGAAACTGTTGCACACCATAGAAGTGTCAATAGTCTGTTATGATTGCTTTTTTGTTTAGGGTTTGAAGCTGGTCTGCAGTATGCGGGGGTAACGCACAGTTTCTGTCGGGAATATCCGCCAAACAATCGATACGGGCCATGGTGTATCACTGGCGTAGGATCAGACATACAGGTCGACCCTGTGAATTGGGAACCGTGCTTCGCATTGTGCAGTCATCTTGGTAAGGTTCACTGCGAAGTGGTTTACTCTGCATGCCAATTTTATTGTTGAAGACCAGACCTGTGTTCCGCCCAACGTATCTTATTCGTCCGTACACGACTTCTTCAGCGAGCGAAAGGCTTCGATCTCTGGTCGCTCATGTTTGGCGTGGAATCAGGTCCAGCAGTTGAGCGAAACACCACTTCACTCGTGGAGTCACAATTTTTGCCGCGTCGTGCCAGACTTAGGCACGCTTCTACCTTCCTGCTACGTGAATGAATCTTTCATCGAAGAGTGCTACAGTTTCTGTGAGGAACATGGTATGCCGTTTCATCGTCTAAGTCGTTTACTTGTTTTTAAAATTTTATTTACGAGTAACACCTCGTTTTCAATAAAGAAACTGTTAGTTCGTTAGAGCCATATAAATCTTTTACCCAGATCTTTGACGAAGTATTGAAGTTTTTTATCCCTATAGCAAATGACAGAACGTTGATGATGATGAAACATTCAGTCTTTACCATGAAGTATGTGCCATCCCTTAAGTATGTGAGGTAGTCAGTTCATCTCTGTGCCAATTAAATATTCTAAAGCTATTCTGCCATGCACTCCTTTTCGCTAATTCGTAGCAGATTTGTGGCTTTACTTAGCGATATCACATGGTATTTGTTTTAATTTTAGTTGCGATATGGGAACATCTGATGAACAGCGAAAAACTGGGAATCTTTCCCGTAATGATTATTGCCTTTATGTTCCCTGAACTTCATAGATGCCGTTTACTAACGCTGCTGTTGTAGTTGAATGCGTGTCCAGCGAAAATGAACTTATCGCTTACAACGGTAAGAAAAGCTCAACGGTGAATGGTCGAATTTGTGCGCCATGGACGGAAATGATGAGCGCATATGCCTTTGACTTCCCTGCCACGCAGAAGGACAAACACTACTGCCGCAATTTCGGCGAGTTATCGATTGGACCGTTTTGTTTGCTCGACCCTCAGCTGAACGGCGGCGTGGTAGCGGAACCCTGTTTCCAATACTGTTATGATTCGGCTGGCCTTTGCGTCGATGAACACAAGCTGATGGTGAGTGGTTTTATGATATTTTGTAAGCGCCATGTTGAATTTGTCTCTTTTATTCGTAGAGGATCGATTCATGAAAGTAACGACGACCCAATTCTTTTCGAACTGTATAAAAAATGGTTTATTATCTAATAACATTCTGT